TTTTTTTTTAATGGAAGCTTCTTTTTTATGGAAGATTATATTTTTATTAGTTAGCATTTTTTTATTTTTATCAATAATAATTGAAATATCAATTATATATTCTATATATCAACCAAATTATAATTTATTTTTTGATTCTATTATTACATTGGTTCGTCAAATTTTAAAAGAAATAATAAAAACAATCGAAAATATTTAATCAAACTGGCTAGAAGAAAGAAATATAAATCTTCTAAAAAAGAGAAAAAAATATCAACAAAATCGAATCAAAAAGAAAAGATTCAAACAAAAAAACAAGTATCAACAAAATCAAACCAAAAAGAAAAGGTTCAAATAAAAAAACCATCTAAAAAAACAATATCTAAAGTTACATCAAAAACAAATTGTATTGGTCGTAAACGTAAATATCAGATAATATGATAACAAAAAAAAGAAGAATATGTTCGGTAGGAATATGTGGAAATGTCTCTGATTATAATGCTTGTGGAAATAGTAGACCACCTGGTTCATTAATTGATAAAATTAATTTTATTGATGGTGGAGGATTTATTACTCTTGATAAAAGATTTTATGTATATAATTTGTTACAACAAGAGAAAATGTTTAAATCTTTAAATTTATTAGATTTTTCTTTATATTTGAAACTCATTTCTTATCATTCACTTAATTTAGATTCAACTTATCAACTTTCAAATAATATAAATTTAACAAAATTATTGTCACCCTTTAAGATTGATCTTTATCTTGTTAGAGTATGTGATCTTGAAATAGCAAAAAAAACAATTTAACAATAGAAGATGTTTTAAAACAACCTAAAGATATAAAAAATCATCAGTTGAAAGATAATTATGATATATTATTACAATATAGTGTACAAATTAATTGTTCAACAGATTGTGTTTTTAACAAACATGAAATAGTAATGTGTAGAAAATTTTTAAAAGATGAACAGAAAACATGTGAAATATCTAATAATACAGGTGAAAATATAGTTTATGATACCGCTAATTATAGATTGATAATGGTAATTAATTATTCAGATTGGATGTATCAAGGATGTTTTAGAATTGATATGGATATAAATGAAAAAATTAAGTTGGAAAAACATTTGGTCATTATGATTCTGGTTATCCAGTTTTTATTTTAGATGGAAGTATTGAAATAGTATATCATCCAGATTTAACACAAGTTAGTAGTATTCAAGCATTTTCTTGATTGGTTGTAGATCAAATAATGGATAAAATACCTAAAGTTAAGGATGAAGATGGTGATGAGGATGTTTAATTTTTTAATAGAATATTTTTATTTTATTTTATTTTTTATTAATTTCATAATAAATATAAATACAAATATTTTTTTTTTTTTTACAAATAAAAATAAAATGATTAAAATACAAAGTTGCAAATGTGTTTATAATTTTAAAGAATATATTGATTGTTGTGCTAAAAAAATATAAAGAACAAAATAATATAAGAATCAAAGAAGAAAAAATAAACGAATATTTAATGTTTACAATAATTGAAAAAGCACAACAACCAATTTTATTTCCTCAACAACTGATTTTTCAACAACCAATTGTTCCAATTTCACCACAAAAACCAATTTTTATACCAGAAGAATCTAATGATATAAACGATAAAAATATATTTAATAGTATAAAAGAAGAAATAACAGATTCAATTAAAA